AATTAGGCTAGTATCTCTAGAAGAGGGAGAATTAAGTATTATTAATATAGCCTATATCTTTATACTATAACCTTTAGGAGGGGTAGATAAGTTAGAAAAGGCCTTTACAGAAGACTCTTAAGAATCTATATAAAAAGAGGAAAGGGAGGGTCTTATTATTAATAGCCTTTCCTAAAACCTCTTTAAAGGACTCACTACCTTTTAAAGATTAATAAAAATAAGCTAAAAAGGCTAATAATATCTTATAGAAGCTAAAAAAAGCTATTTTATTCAAGGCTTATACCTTTCCTTATACTCTGAGAGTTAAGGTCCCTTTATTAGAATATAACATTATTATATTATAAATAATATTAGGTTCTTAATTCTAAACCCTTATAGACAAAGCTGATCTAAGAGATATATAACTCTATCTTATTTAATTACCTTAGTTATAAAGCTACTTATATTATTCTTATTAGGTAATTCTATTAGCTAAGTATTACTATAGATATATACTAATAAATATAGAGCTATATAGATATAAAAGGAATATTATTAGGGACTCTTAAAGCTATTACCTATCCCTAACTATAAATAGGAGGAGATCTTTATTAACTTTATTAAAGGACTATTAGAGTTAGAAAGGTATATATTAATTATAGTTATTAACTAGTTTAGTAAAGGTATTATCATTAAATTAATAAAATTAATTATAATACCTATAATTACCTATAAGTTTATTAAAGCTTACCTATAAATCTTGTATACCTATAAATAGGATAACTAAGTATAACTATACCTAATAGTAATATTAGTATTAAATAATTATAATACTACCTTAATAAGGATAAACCCCTTTTTCTTTAATTATAAATACTACTTAGAGCTATTAGATCTCCTTAAAGAACTTTATAAGAACCTTAACTTATAAAGTCTTATTTAATAAATAGAGGCTATAGTAGTAAAGCTTCATAATATATTAGACCTTATTAAGGTTTTAATAGTAGCTATATAATAAGCCTAAGAGGATATAATAAAACTACTTCTATAATATTATACTATAATATTATATTGGTAATAAAGTCTGGCTCTCCTCTTAGAATATATAAACTTATTAGAAATCTAGAAGTTTAATATAAGGAAGACTAAATATATTATTATTAAAAAGGTTAGGTCCTATGCCTATTATCTTAATACTCTACTAGGTATCTATAATATCTTCTATATCTTACTCTTATAATTTATAGCTTTAAACTTATTACCTAACTAGTATTATATAGATTACTAATTATTAGATAGGCTTATTAATAGCTACTTAAAATATAAAGTTAAGGAGATCTTAGCTAAAGAGCCTAGAGGTTATTACTATAAATATTAGGTTAAATAGGTTAGATATAATAAACTAATATAGGAACTTATAGAGGTAATAGAGGATATAATGGTACTTAATTACTAAGAGGCCTATTAGGCTACTACTATATAATCCCTTATATAGGTATAGATACCTTTAGGGGGTATAAAGGCTAATATAAAAGGGGGGTATTATTATAAGCTGAAGCTATAGGAGGTAGGCTTAGGCTTATACCCTTATAAGGAGGCTCTAAAGCCCTAGATCCTAACTTATAGGATCCTATAGATCTTTTCCTTAAATCCTTTAGGGTACCCTCTGATTAGCTAATCTATTAAGTAAACCCTAAGCATATAACTATATTAACTTCCTTAAACCTATAGCCAAAGGCTCCTTTCTTCCCTTTCCTAATTGTGACATCTTATATGCAACCCTTATTAGGAGGTTTGCATACAGAAGCTGTTACAGCCTGTTACAAGTAGAATTAATTTTCTATAAAGTATATAAATATTTATAAGTAAATAAAAACGATATTAGTATAAAGCCATTATATATAGGCCCTTACTATACTATAATTAGGCTTAGTATATACTAGGTGACAAGCTCTAGCTAGGCTAAATTTTTCTAGCTAAGCCTAACCTTTTTTTCTAGTTGGGCTTATATAAGCCTATAACTAATTTAACTAATGCTCTAAGGTTTAATTAATAATTATAATAACTTAATTACTATATGGCTTTAGTTTGACTTAACTATAGCTTATAAGGCCTAAGAAAAGAAGAAATTATAATATAATATAATAGGCTATAATAGCTTCTAGATATAAGCCTCTTAATAAGGGTTATATATAAGATATTATAATTAAAGAAAAGAAAAAAGGAGCCTTTAGTTATAGGTTTAAAGAAGTTAATATAATTATATATTTAAGGGTTTATTTAGTAGATTAGCTAATCAAAGGGAGTATTAGAGGATTTAGAGAAGAATCTATAGGATCTTATAAGTTAGGATTTAAGGGCTTTAGAGCCTCCTTATAAGGGTATAAGCCTAAGCCTACCTCTTATAGGCTTTAGCCTATAATATTTAGTTATTTAACCTAAATATTCTTATTTTCTAATATTATACTTTATTATAGTAACCTATATAAAGAGTTTACTTTAAATACTATATAATAAGAGTAATATAGCTATAAGTAGTAGTATTTATATACCCTTAACTCTATTAGTATTTTAATTACTCATTGAAATATAGTAATATACTATTCTATTATTTTATAGTCCTTATATCTTATTATTTCTTATAGATATAGTTTATAAATAACTATATCTAATCTCCTATAAATAAGTTAAAGGAGTTATAGACTACTTTATAAAATATTAATATTTATTTATTTATATTTATTAAAAACCCTTAGGAGTAGTAGCTATACCTCTTCCCCCTAATTATAGTAATTAAGTAACCTTTATTGCCCCCTCTTTTTCTTTTAATAATACTTATAAAGGTAGCTTAAAGCTAATAGACTAGGAGCTTATTATTTTTTATTTAAAATAAGGAGGCCTAATAAAGGATCCCCTTTATTTATAATTAAACTAACCATTAAAGGGCTAAGTAGGTATTTAAAAAAAACCTGAAATATAAATAAGAGAACTATTATTTATAATATAGAATAAATAATTATTTTAAAAACTAATACTTATATTAAGTTACCTTATTATTACCCCTAGGTATTACCCTATTTTATATTACTACTATTATTATTTATAAATTAAATCTCAAGGAAAAAAAATTAATATAAGTATAAAAGATTTAAGAAAAAAAATAACCCTTATTAAATGTCGGAGCCACAGGCTCCGGGCTAGGCCTGTTTGGGCTTAGTTTGGCTTGCTTGCAGTCTACACACCATAGATAGCCATCTCCATCCTATAGTTATAGAAAATCAAGCCATATCTCAGAGAGTTCAGCCTTATTAGGTTATAGGCCTAGGGGTTCTTTTTGTAAGCCTAATCTATATTATAAACCCTAGTGGCTTTATTTATTTCAAAAATTATTAAATTACTATATTTAAATAGCAATAATATAGTCCTCTATAAAGAGATATAGTTTAGTTGCCTAAGATAGCAATTTATATATAGGTAGATAGTCTATTAACTAAGGTAGTTATTAACCTAGACTTACTTTTAGAAAGGTTATAAAGTACTATAAGTTATATAGCCTAGTCTATCTATATAAGGAAGACCCTATATATGGAGGATTTAGATAGTTTGATTAATTTTATAATTAATAGACCTAATATAGAATACCCCAAATATATAATTTGGTACAAGGTATCCCTAAAAATTATAATATAGCTTATTGAGCAGTTAGATATTAAATTAGTTAAGAGATATTTAATACTATTAAGTATATAGTTATAAGGGGTAGTTTAGAGGAGATTAGGCATAGTTATTTATAAGCCATATTTATAAGGATTATACAATAATAGAATAATATATTACTACTTTTTAATAGGTAGTTAAAAATGCAAATAGAGTTAAGGGTATATAAATATTACTACTTATAGCTACACTACTTCTATTATATAGTATCTAAAGTAAACTCTTTATATAGGTTATAGCAATAAATATAATATTAGAAAGTAAGAATATTTAGGTTAAATAACTAAACTAGAACTCCTAGAATTATATAAAAAAGCTATTAATTAAGGAAGAGAATAAGAATACTATAATAATAGTACTATATATAATATAATTATAGACTATTAATATAATCCCTATATATCTTATAATATCTTTATATTATATATTTTTATATAGATATTAGGGCTCTAGGTAAAGAGTCTAGATTATACTATTTATAGGGTAAAGGATAATAAGATTATTAGATATACCTATACTATAAATAATTTACTATACCTTAGGATAGTTAGACCTATACCTAAATCCTTTAAGGCTATAAAGGCTCTTAAAGAATATTATTAATTAGCCTACTATAGCCTCCCTAAGTTATAAGTAACTATAAAGGCTTTAGGTAGTATACTTAAAGACCTTTATAAATCTTTATTATAAGCCTTACTATATTACTAAGGTAAAGTAGCTTATATTAGTTATATATATAACACTGCTATATTTAAAGAACATATATAGGATTTATTTTATATAGATATTTAACTAGTAAAGCTAGTTAGTTTTAGTAGGTTTAAATATTATATGCTTATTATTAATAATAAGTATAGAGTCCCTAAGGTAGAATTCTTAAAAGAGAAAAGTAATATATTATCTAAACTAATTATTTTCTATAAAAACTTTAAGAATATTATAGGCTATTACCTAGCATATTTTTAGACTAATAGTAGTTAGGAGTTCTTTGTTTGTATTAATTAGGCTAAATCAAAAGGAATTATAATTAAATTAATACCTTTTTATAGCCCTAAACTTAATAGTATACTAGAATGATTTATTAGATATCTTAATTAAACTATATAAGCTATAATTATTAACTTAGGACTACTTATACAGCTATGGCTATTTATAATAGATATTATAACATATAATTAAGTATATTATTAACCCTAATAATAAAAGTTGCCTTTATAGGTATATTAAGAGGATTTAGGACTTAGAAATATAAAAACTATAATATAATACTTTTAGATATAGGGTATAAAGACTATAAGCATATTCTAAAAGAAGATAGGGTTTAGGCTAAAAAGATAGGCCTATAGGCTCTTATTAGTTACTTAGTAGGCTATAAAAGAGATAATAGCTATATCTATAAGGTATAGATCCTTAGAAAGAATAAAGTTATATAGTCCTAAGATATTACCTTTTAGACTAGAAGGACTATAAAAGATAATAATCTACTAACTATAAAGACTATACATATTCTTAAACTACTACAACTAAATAATAGTAACTATAGTATTATAGTTAATATATAAATATTATAAATTCTTTATTATACTATTAAGGAGACTCTATATATTATAGGTTATATATAAACTCTCTCTAATATACCTTTAAGCTAATTTAATAAGAATTAATATAATACCTTAAGAATTAACTATAAGAGACTATTAATTAGATTATAATACCTTAGGATGCTTAATAATATTATTAACGTAATCAATCACCGAGCGAAACACCCACCAACGCCATTATTATTAGATATCTAATTATCTCACCACACCACCCCTAAATTGAAGCTATTTACATGTAAAATAATCGCCTATTTACTAGGGCAGCTGACCCTAGTATGACCTTGAACATTGCAGTTGCTACACCGCGGTAGTGCGCATCTTCTAGGCTGCGCATCAGCTTGGTCAGTTACCTCTGCCTGTAATTCTGCAGCTTGCTGAGCAAGCTGCTGGCCTTCTTCAGCAGTTAAAATCCCACCAGTAGCAGTATAGGATCTAGCTGTCTCTTGCTTGCTATTTTTGACGTTTGTTTGGCCGCAC